AAAAAAAAAATGTGAGTCCGTCAGTTTTAGTAAAAATGATCCCTGCCGAACTGAAATCATCAGACTTAGCGATGAGAGAACCCATAGTCAGGAACATTCAAATGACATGAAGTCTTCAGAATATATTGGGGCTGGTGTGCAGAGGCTATGATACAATGTTCAGCCCTATATCATAATGTTTTCGAGAGATATTCAACAAACCAGAGTCAGAAATAGTTCATTTCACAATCCAAAATTCTCTGTGGGTCTTCATTCTGTAGACTTAATTTTTGTTTTTTTTCAAAGAGCATGTTAGAATGCAGACCATGATAGAGCCCTTTTTTTTAAATTCTGACTTCGTAAGGAGAAAAATAAGGATGAAAATTTCAATCTTTCAAAAAAAAGCATACTTTTTGGATAGGGAATGACGAAAGTCTGCAAAAATTTTTTTGGGAAAAACGAGGATCGCAACTAAAAAAATTTTGTCTCTGATGAAACGATGAGACTACAGACTATCTTCTCATGCATTTATCTTAATTTCGATCGTTCTGACGAAAAGTGACCTTTTATTGAGAGGTTTAAAGAGTAAAGCTCATCAGCCTTGTATATTGTTTCAAAATAATTATAACTAAATGGTATTCGAGCTTCATTCGAATACGAAATGTACTACAAAGGTTGACTCTTGATTTTCAAAAAAAAACGGGTATATCATAAAAAAAGTGAAAAATCATTCTTATACGATTTATTGTGAATCGCATTTTTTTCGAAAGATGTTTACGTTTAGGATTAATGTGAAAAGTGGCCATAGTAAAACTCCTCATTATGAGAACTCTATCAACGAGTAGCAACTGTTCATCGATAGATTATCATTAGTACTAGCGATAACTGGGGTGTGGATGAGAAGATACACATCCACACCCTAATATTTTATTAAATTATCATTATCTCAACCTCTTTTATAGATTGCTTTTAATTATCACGACTGGTACATATTTTTGATTAAAAACAAAGGATAAAAAAATTTCGATTAAAATCAGATTTTCTTCGTCTTTTTTGTTAACACTGAACTTATCTGTTGTAAGTCTGTGCAATGTGTCAATCGATTTAAAATCCTTCACAGCAAAGATCAACGCTTTTTTATCGAGATTTAATTGTGATGCTTCCATTTTTCGTCATTTATTTTGGATTGCTTGGATTTAGAAACCGTGAAGTTGCTACCCAAGCTAAGATTGAGTAAACATATCAAAATTAGAACTGCAATATTTTTTGTTTGAAATTAAGATATTACACCGCATCAGATTAAAATCAAGTAATCTTGCAAAATACAATCAAATTTCATAATATAAAGAGAATAAGAATAGAATTCATTATGGATTATTCGAACAATTAATACATCACATATCTTGTTTTCAAGATTTGCTCTCAATAATGTGTAATTTAAACATCCATCATCTCATTGCACACAAGTTCCTCTTCGACCTTTTCATGTTGTTCGCATACCTCATCGTCACACTCACCTCTATGTTGCTTTTAATTAATTTTGATCGAATGATCGTACAAAAATGTACGATTTGTACACTGGTAATCAAATTTAATTCTAATTTTCTTCGGAATATTTTTCAATGAATTTGGCTATTCTTATTTTAGACACAACAACTAGTATGCATTATCGATATAGTATTTCTTTTTTCGTTTTCGGATAAGGATGATAGTTGAAAGAATATTATTCACGTGTCTAGGTTGATGAAAAAGATAATATTGATATTGTTTATTAACGATGCTATTCATTATTCTAAGCTGAGAAGTAAAGAAAAAAAAATATTCCCTTTATTTTTGTATTTTATAAGAACAGACTCTAAAATAACCTTGGTTGATAGTACAAGTGTTAATATGACATCGGTCAATTATGAAATTGAATTCTTGTAGTAATAGTTTCTAATACAATAAATATGGATGGTACTGCTTTGGTGTTGATTTTCTTGTTTAAAAAGATGTCAATATCGGTATCGAATGAAATATTTATCAGATATAAATTTTACTTTTTCACAACTGATTGATCCATCCTAAACTTCGCTGTTGTAGTTAAGTATCAAAATTTGGTTATCAAGAAAGATTTGTAATCAATGAAGAGTATGACTGTCCCGTTAATGTTATTTAGTTTCGAACACATTAGACATTTATTATATTCTTTCAGCATCGATTAAGTTCTTTTTTTTTGGGTTCAATAACGTAAATTTATCTTACTGTATTATATATATGAATACATTAGATAGACGTTGTACACCTTTGACACGTAATTAAATTGTACCGTACATTCACTCTCGTGAATATCTATGAATATAAGTATTAAAGAGGAAAGTAGTGAGATTATTTTACTATCTAATTTTAGAATGTATTAGTCAAATATTGGACTCCTTAACTCATTCAATACCAATGAGTCATTTTAGACCCATTCTGCATCTACACAGTAAAATGACTTGGCCTAAATTTAACTGCACCTTTGACATAATTTAGCACCTGCAGAAACTATTTCCAGGTTTGCCTCAACACCAAATCTATTGGATGAGTGCTGGGGTAAGGAATTAAGCAAGATTTAGCATCATAGTAAAATAACATTTCATATTCCAGTCGTGTCGTTTATTTAGAAAAATCAAAAACACAATAGTTTTTGAAAATAATAAATATCGTCATGTTGGGGTGTGGGTGTAGGTAGAATTAAGAACAGCAGAGCCACAGATACACCCTATGTATCAGCTTATATGAAAATCTTAGTTCGATTGCTAAATAATATCTGAAACTTTTCTTTGGAATATTGTGATGTATAAATGTAATTTACACATTTTTCTTTAGTAAAATTATTCACCTAAACATGTGCATTTGACTATATTTTATTTTGTTAATTTTTCATCCACACGAATGAATGTAGATTTACCATAGCTGTACAAAGTATGCTTGATTGAAACAATGATACAGACTCTGTTTTTTTTTCTGATAAATATGTATGATCGAACATGTTCCATTCACAACTATGTTATTGAAGGGTATGTATGTATATGGGCACATTGGCAATGCTTGCTATATTTTATTGATTCATTCTCTTCTTGATGCAATCAAAACGACCGATCAACCTTCTTGACAAATTCTATATTTGTAAAGCTTTTCTGTATTTGTCCTCCGTGTCACTTTTTGACCTATGTCTATTTTCTCTATTTTGAAAAGCGTAAGATGGATATGTGAGTAAGCTTTCACACAAGGTTCGTATAGTATGCATTGTTTGTCATGATATTACTGTACTTTTTTGTTTACTAATCGATGAGTAATAGGAATATATATATATAGTCCAGCGACATGAAGAACATCATTGTCCAGATATCTTAACTATAAATGGATTCATGTCCGGTTTTACTGGTAATATTTGACACAGCTCTCATCTTCATTATTTGGCAACGGCCTCCGAGTTTGAGGAAATGAATATCTGACAGAAATCTCTTTTTTCAACTGATTGAGCCATGGCTTCTATATCAGAAAAAATGAATATATCACACAAATGTCATTTTTCTCTGAATTGGCCACCGCTTCCTGGTTAGTGATAATGAATATCCAGATGAAACCTCGTTTCTTGTGATTTGGCAAAGGCTTTGGTGTGAGTGTAGATGTCGATCTCCTCTACTTCCACACCCGCACCCGCCCCCACATCCTATTCTTATCAAATGTATTATGTATCGAAGAGGTAAATAATACTCGATCTTAGAAAGTTGATGAATCATAAAAGTTAAAAATAACGATATTTCAACGAAATGTTTTGAAGTTTATATTTCTCTGGTAACATTCTATGAAATCTTACAGAGAGAAAAAGATGAAAGTAATGTACGTAATATTACCTAACACTTCAAGAATATTCATATCACTATTTCTGATATATTCTAAGACCAACTAACATATATGATCTTGAATGTCTCGAAATCTTAATATCGTTCTGAAAATCATAAAACTTTTTTCGTGACTACTTTTATATTTTCTTTTTTGTTTCATTGAAACCAGTTCTATGGCCAAGATTAGAACGGAAATCTTCCATAAACTTTTTTAAAAAGTTAATGTAATACTTTTGCGTTTTTTAATCCACCATAACAACCAATACATAAGGATAAATTAGAATACTTCGAGTTTGAAGGAAATTTTGCAGACTACAACAATAATATAATATTCTTTAATTCTCACAGGCTTTACTACATATCTCTCGCAAAACTTATGTATCGTTATATATGAAGCACGAAAACAAAAAAGTGTTTATCAATATCTTCAAGAAAAAATAAAACTGCAGTCTACTTAACCGAGATAACAGACAAATTGTGGTTGTATCCTTGCAACTGTGTTTACTTGACTGACAAACACTAGCCTCAATAAAAGTGTTCTTATCTTAACAACTACACCTACTCAATTCTAGCATTTGCTTTGGCTTCATTTATCTATCTATATATATAGAAGTATATGCTTTGTTAGTATTCTAAATAAAAAAACCATTGTCAGAAGCCACAATATTTATCCAATAAAGTCTACAAATTTTTTCTATAGAGAAAAAGAAAATCAGTAATGGCTTTCGGAGAACATAGCAACGTCCGTATTCAGATTGCAGTAGTTATAATTGGTCTATTTGGAATAATTACTATTGCCATTACAGCTGCGACTCTTGACATTCTTAACAAACGATTTACTAATCTCAATCAAAAAGTAGGTGAACTGCTAAAATTAGTGTCTAATATTAGTGACCGATTACTCACGACATCCACAATAACAACAACTTTGCTTTCGACTACGACAGCGACTACAGATACTCCTACAACTTTAACGACGACTATAACAATGGATGATACTACGGCTCCAGCTACAACAATGACTTTGTCTGAAACTTAAACAAGAAAAATAGCCTAGCTCAATACAGTGATGGTCGCTTCATTGATCTTCAGACATTCTATGTATTTGTCACTTTCTCATCTCTGACTTGATTTTCATCTCTTCTTGCGTGGTTCCTTTTTTCTATTCAACTCTTGAATAAAAAATCACGCATCAAATTATTTCGTTATCAACAACGGCTACTGGTTTATCGTTGCTTAATTCATTTCTTACCATAGTCAATTAAAATTAAAAGAACAACTAACGAGGGAAGGCCACCAACTGCCTCCTCGCTTTTGAGCTAACACCCAGTTGACAATAGGTAATCGAACGTGCTGATTCCGAATATCACAATTGTTTTTGCCCGCTTTCTATTTAAAGACCCGTTTTTTTTAAAGAACTTGGTTTTTCAAGAGAAAAACCATTTTCACTAAAAAATTTTTTGACTTGTCCAAATGAAAGAGCACGCCGTCAAACCTACAGAAAACAATTTTTCAAGGTTCTAAGCGAGGTTTTGAGCGAATTTTCTGCGTCTAAAACTTAAAAAAGGGAAAAACCGCTAATATTCTTACACAATTTATAAAAGCAAAACTACTGTTTTTCTTTCTGTTCTGTTTTTTTATACATGTTATTAGCAATTTGTGATAAAGGGGGCAATAAAGCAGTTTCACAGAGCCATGATTCGTAAAAATATTTGCTATGTTTTTGATGAAAATGATAACTGGTAAAAAGAAATGTTGAAAACACAACTTCTTCGAACATCGAGCACAAGTTATAAAAACAGACTCATCGGAGTCTTTCTCTTCACACTATATATGAGTTCCTGAACTTGCAAAGCAAACTTGATTAACGCTGACAAATGGAGAAGGATCTTCACGTATTAAGCCACTGGAGAACCAAGCGTATTTAATCATTGGCGTGAATACATCTGCGCTCAATTGATTGTGCATTAGACTGGCTAAATGTATGATGTTATTTCGTTCGTGTAAGTATATATCTAGTTCATCCAACGCTACACGATGATAATATGCTTTGAGGAAAATTTCAATTTGTTTGTTGAAATAACAATCCAGTGGCTGTAGCTCGTCAGTTGTATTTTGTGGTATTTGTAAACGTGTGACCTTTTTACCACCGCAATTTTCCGGTTGATAGAGTTCTTCGCGATTTTGCCCTGGATAACTGTCTGATAGCAGCAAACATTTAGCACCAACCAATGGAAGAAAACAGTTATCTCTCCAATATTCAACCAATGAAGTAGTAAGTTTTCCCGACGCCAAACAGGTTATAACGACATTTTTCGGCTGAAACAAGTGTCTCTTAACTTGCTCTCCCATTTTTCCTAAGATAAGGGAACAAACGAGCGATAGCGGTTTAAAACGGTTCGACTAACATTTAACTCACCTCCCTGCTCCTGCAGACATAAATAAATCGTTTCTAAGAGCCGTCTGTCTAATGAGATAGTTGGCTGTAAAGTGTAAGAGTATCTAGTAGCATTTTTCGACTGAACAGCTGCAAAAGTCCTCTTTTCACCAACGAAAGAGATAGTACGATTGAAGTGTAATTCTTTTTCGACACCTGTTTGGTCTGTATTAAAAATTTCAGATGGTTTTAAGTGAGATGACACTTTATTAAACTTCAAAATAAAATTTTGTTTTGATTTTTCTATAACTTTCCGATTTTCGACTTGATGGTGTGAAACAAAGTTTGTCATTTTTAGAGAAGTTAATCTCTGACGATTTTTGAAATTCTCCAGCCAACCTTGAGAAGCATGAAAATCGACGAGCTTTATTTCTTTAGCTATCTTTAAACCCCATCACTGGATATCCAAATCATGAATAACGAGATTCTTTTGTCTTGCATCAACTAACTTTTTGTAAACTAAACTGTCCAGATCTTGAGTCTTCTGTCGCTTTGTTCCATGATGTTCCAAATATTTTCGAAAACGTGGAATATAAGTTCTGTCTGGAATTGTTCGAAATCAGTGATGAATGGCTTTCCAAGATCTCCCATGTTTACTTCCCGGACCTGCATGACCAACAAAATCAATAACTTGAAGCATAAACTCGTCTGAAAAGCTTCTTAAATTATATTTTTCTAAAGCTAATTCTTTGTCCTTCCAATCTTCGTCCATTTTTTCACTTTCTTTCTCATCCAGCATGGATTCTTCCTCCTCTTCACTCTCTTCATCGTCGGGTGTGTGTGGGTGTGCGTGGATGTGGGTGTGGGATTGGTGTGGATGTGAGTGTGTGGGTGTGGCTGGGTGTGGGAGTAAGTGCGCGTGTGGGTGTAGGCGTGGGTGGATGTAGGTGAGAGTATGGGTGTGGGTGTGGGTGTGGCTATTGTCTCTTTCCACCCACACCCACACCCATCCACACCCACCTCCGCTTCTCCCTTTGAAAAACTTGATCCTTTGCAACACAACCTTCGCAAACAGGCGACGCTGTCTATATTGTATCTTGAAGTTCGTCAAACATTTGTGACAAAGTGCATGATATGAATATAGTCAAACAAAAAGAAGCGATGTCTTATCGGCAAACAGAGAGCACAAGAGAGTCTTATCGTAAGTAGTCAATATAACGAAGTTAATAATAAAACCTTGGTTTTTTCTCTTCCACAGTATCTCATTGTCGTGTATGTAAGATTTGCTTTTGAAAAAAGATTCAATCTTATGTGAGGGTGTGGATGTTCTCTTCATCCAAACTCACACCAACTCACATCCATGCCAATACTAGGTCTGTAAAAAAAAATGCTACTATAAAGAATCTGTTCAGTATACACTATGAGTGGGTACGGATGTATGGGTGTGGGTCTGGGGTGTAGGTGTCGGGTTCTAGGGTATGGATGTGGGTATGAGTATGCGGTTCTCATGTGGGGGTGTGGGCGTATGGGCCTGGAGTGTAGGTGTAGGTGCGGATGTAGGTGTGCATGTGGGTATGTGGGTCTGGAGTGTAGGTGTGCGTATGGATGTAGGTGTGGGTACGAATGTGGACTGTCAATGACGGGAAGATGAAACCAATATCCACAGCCAAAACACCCACACTCACACTCAGCGAATAACATTATTCAAATCCTATTTATGACTTTGTTCGTTTGTTCTTTTTGTATGGATGACGACAATCATTTCATGTTAGTTCGTTATGTTCTTCTTTCTTGTTACTTGGTTAATTTACAGAGATTTCGCTCGTTTGTTATCGTCAGTTTATCTGTAGCACTCGTGAAATAAAAACATGAATGAGATAAGAACAACTTGAAGTTTATAGCAGCAAGCCAGAAAAAAATAGTATCGAAATAAAAGAATAAACGATTATAAAGACACAGGAAAGACGACGTTTCGATTTTGTATTTATTCGTTGACTTATTCATTTATTGTTTATGGACAAAAACGGATTGAAAAAAACTGCTACTAGTGGACAAGCAGCGATGGCCACCACCAATAGTAGTGCTGTATTGCCTGAACGTATGCGTCCGATTCTGGAAAATTGCCTTTTGATCTGGCTTGATGCCGATTTCGATGAAGCAAAAAATGATTATAAACAATCGGTGCAACAGCTTCGAAATGTCATAGCAACAATTATTACATTTACAGATGCTGATCAATGTGTTGATTATCTCAGTGACATTAAAGATGAAAAACTGTTGATGATCGCATCTGGCTCACTGGGACAACACATAATACCAGAGATTCAAGCATGTCCACAATTGGACTCCGTATATGTTTTTTGTGACAATCAATCAATGCATGAGCAATGGGCAAGAAAAATACCTAAGATAAAAGGTATTTGCACACAAATTGAACCGCTTTGTAAAGCATTAGAAATTGACCATAAACATTGTGATCGATCTATGATATCGATGAGTTTTCGTGGCATCGATCCTTTGTTTATGTACACACAATTGCTAAAAGAAGCATTTTTGGAAATCGAAGATGATGACGCGACATCTATTAAAGAACTGGTTGATTATTGTCGTCTTCACAATGCTGCTTCTCCAACCATACTGGAAAAACTCGAACGAGAATATCGTCATCATCCACCAAGTTGGTGGTATACAGGACCCTTCTTTATTTATTCTATGCTCAATCATGCTCTTCGACTTATGAATGTTGATGTTATAATGAGAATGGGTTTTTTTATTCGTCATTTACACAAACATATTGAAAAATTACATGGTGAACAACAATCCGATGAGCCCACCAGTGGGCCATTCACAGTCTTCCGTGGACAAGGTTTGTCCATGGAACACTTCGACAAAATGAAACAAACCAAAGGAGGACTTATGTCCTTCAATAACTTCCTTTCAACCAGTCGCGAACGAGACATTTCACTTGATTTTGCACGTCAGTCACTCGGCGATACTAATTCTATCGCCATACTCTTCGTTATGAATATTGATCCAATGGTATGCGTACAATCGAAAATTCCCTATGTCGACGTGAAAGGTGTCGGTTACTACGACAATCAAGAAGAAGAAGTGCTTTTTACCACACATACGATCTTCCGCATCAATCAAATGAAGCGCATCGAGGAAAATGACACAGATCGGCTATGGCAAGTTAACCTCACTCTTACGGGTGACGATGATAATGAACTGAATGCACTTACATCACATATACGTAAAGAGTTCAATAGGACAACAGGATGGTCTCGCCTAGGCTATATACTCATTAAGTTGGGTGAGCCTGCGAAAGCAAAACAACTCTATAAGATCCTCATTGAAACAGCATTTTCTGATCAAAATCGAGCAGCTTACAATAACTACCTTGGCTCGGTGCATTATGGCATGGGGGAATACTCAGAAGCACTACAATGTTATGAAAAATCAAAAGATATCTACCAAAAAATTTTCCCTCCAAATCATCCCGACTTCGCTACTTCCTACAACAACATCGGTTTGGTGTATGATAACATGGGGCAGTACTCGAAAGCACTTTCGTCGTATGAACGATCACTTGAAATCAAAAAAATAGCTCTCCCTCCGAATCATCCAGACTTGGCTACTTCCTACAACAACATCGGTATGGTG